GTCGGCTACGTCCTTCTTCATCCCTCGCCACCAGAACGACCTTTTCAGGTCATGATACATCTTCGTGCTCCCTGGGTGGGGCTAAATAAGGTGCGGTATGAGCTTCGGTCACTATCTCTTTCCGCAAAGACCAACTGAATCAAGAATACACTACACTCTTTTTCCAAGAGGGGTCTCACTGCCTGTCTAGACTGTGAACGAATAGTTTAGTCTTATAAGGAACCGATAGGTGATCTTTCTATTCGAAACTCTTCGAACCACACTATCTCAATATAAGACATGGAGTATGATTTGTAAATAAATAAACTGCAAACATATGTACTTTGACCGAAACATGATGGCCAGATCAAAATGAAATTGATAGAATCTGCAAAACATAGCTTTTACAGCATACCTCTAACAATCTCCCACTTATGCTTTATGAGCTCATGGCTAAACAAAATAACCACAATTTCATTCAATATAATTCTCAAAGACTAGTCTACTATGTCGCCCTAACATCTGACTCTCATTCCTTCTACGTGTCTTGTAAAGACTTTCACCGGTAGGCTCTTCGTAAAAGGATCGGCTAAGTTGTCCTCTGATTGTATCTTGGCAACAATGAATTCTCCTCGTCCAACGATTTCTCGTATCAGGTGGTACTTGCGCTCTATGTGTTTACTCGCTTTATGAGTTCGTGGCCCCTTCGAATTTGCTACTGCTCCGCTGTTATCACAGAACATTGTGATTGCAGCGGGCAAACTCGGTAGCACATCAAGGTCGAGGAGAAAATTCCTGAGCCAAACAGCTTCTTTTGCTGCCTCTGAGGCTGCTACATACTCAGCCTTCATGGTTGAGACCGCAACGCATTTCTGCTTGACACTCCTTCATACTATGGCTCCTCCTCCTAAAGTAAACACAAACCCTGAGGTTGACTTGCTTTCATCCCGATCTGCCTGGAAGTCAGAATCGGTGTAACCCAAAGGAAGCAATTCATCTGCCTGGTAAATCAACATGTACTCCTTACTCCTACGTAGGTACTTGAGTATATGCTTTACCGCAGACCAATGTTCCGGTCCTGGATTACTCTGATATCTTGCTAGCATGCCCACGGCATAACAAATATCAGGTCGCGTGCACAACATAACATACATGAGGCTTCCTACTGCCGATGCATAAGGAACTGTCTTCATGTCCTCTACCTCTTGAGGCGTCTTCGGGGACATCTGCTTAGATAGAGGTATTCCGTGACGAAAGGGTACATCCTCTTTCTTGGAATCCTGCATGTTGAAATGCTTTAGAACAGTGTCTATGTATGTGGATTGGGATAGGCACAACTTTCTCTTCTCTCGGTCGCGAATAACCTTGATTCCGAGAACATGTCCTACTTCTCCCAAATCCTTCATATCAAACTGCTTGGATAACCATACCTTTACGTCTGATAACATTTTCACATTGTTTCCAATGAGATAAATATCATCCACGTACAGCAATAGAAACACCACCACGTTTCCATCACTTTTCTTGTACACACAGTGCTCATCCAAAAATTGGGTAAATCCATACGATTGGACAACCTCGTCAAAACGGATGTTCCAAGACCTCGAAGCCTGCTTCAGCCTATAAATGGACCTCTTAAGCTTGCAGACCAGATGCTCTTGGCCCTTTGCAATGAATCCTTCTGGTTGCTGCATATAGATGTCCTCGTCCAAATTCCCGTTAAGAAGAGCGGTCTTGCCATCCATTTGCCAAATCTCATAATCCATATGAGCGGCCAAAGCCAATAGAATCATGATGGATTTGAGCATGGCAACCGGTGAAAAGGTTTCCTCATAATCGATCCCTTCTTTCTGAGTGTACCCTTTTGCAACAAGCCTAGTTTTGAAGGTCTCAACCTTCCCATCTGTACCTCTCTCTCTTATAGACCCACTTGCATCCAATGGCGCGGACGCCACTGGGTGGCTTTACAAGATCCCAGACCTGATTAAGTCCATTGACCCTATTTCAGATTTCATCGCCTTTTGCCAAGACTCTGTGTCCCGATATTGGAGTGCTTCAATGTATGTTCGTGGATCGGATTCAAGAACGTCTGGGACGGCCTCAGAAGACTCTCCCAGACCCATGAACAGTTCGGGCTGCCGGAAAACCCTCCCACTACGACGAGGTACTACCTGCTCAGGTGCATCATCAGCGATACGTGTTGCAGTACTTTGTGGTGTAACCTCTAGCGCACTTGGTATTGAAGTACTCACTCTCATTAACTGCTCAAGAACATGTCTACTACTGGGCTTATGATCTAAAGCATAGTCTTCTTACAAGAACCTAGCATTCGTGCTAACAATTACTTTCTGGTCCTCGGGACTATAAAATAGACCACATTTCGTTTCCTTAAGATATCCCACAAACAACCTTACTTATGTTCTCGGTTCTAACTTATTTGTATCGGTTCTCAGCACATGTGATGGACTACCCCAAATCCTGAGATGCCTTAGACTAGGCTTATGCCCAGACCACAACTCCAATGGTGTAGACGGTACTGATTTAGAAGGTACTCTATTCAGAATGTATACTGTTGTTTCTATGGCATATCCCCAAAATGAATCTGGTAAACTACTATAATTCATCATTGCCCTAACAATTTCCATAAGAGCCCTGTTCCTCCATTCTGCTACGCCATTCTGCTGAGGTTGTAATGCGTCACTTTTATTTTACGAAAGTCAAAGGCTTTTCAAAAAGTCAACTTATTTTTTTTTTCGAAACCATTACATAAAGCAGTGGCGCTACTTGAACTAAATCACATAATAACATAAATCACACTTGCATAAATCATAAACCATAAATCCATTGTTTTCATAAATCCCAGTTTCTTTTAAATTGTTCATAAGGGAACATCTCCCAATTCAAAGTTCCAAAGTCATAAATAAGCATAAATAAATCCAAGTCTACTAGCATGCAGAATAAACTAAATGAAGTCAGTCAAAGACCAACAGCACTCGTCTCTGTCTCGTCAGCCGGCACCTACTTAACCTGCATCAATGAAGAGCAGGTAGGAGTGAGCACGATGAACTGTTGTGCTCACCACTATGCATATAAATAACAACATAATATATCAAGGGTATGGTCACAGCATGGTCATAAATTAATTCATCATGTCACATCTCCAATCAATACACCAATAACCTTACTCATGTGCACATCTATCATTAGCAATTGAAGGACATACAGCTCTCAACAATGGGAGTGCATACCGAAGGACATACAACTCTCAACGGTATGGCCTATCGTTAGGACTTAGTGGGAGTGCATACCGAAGGACATACAGCTCTCAACGGTATGGCCTATCATTAGGACTTAGGGAGATTGCCACACAAGGGCACCGTCGAAGGACATACAACTCTCAACGACGGGGACAACCGTTCGAAGGACATACAACTCACAACGAAGGTTACACAAATTCACATGCAAGCAGTGATCATACCAACCCAACAACAAATAAATTATTTACGGCATAGAAATTTAAATAAGACCCACCTGGATACCGAGATATAGCCAACCACAGGGTTGAAGGAATAATGGCAAAATTTCAGCGCGATGAACCGTTCTCAGGAAACGTTCGAACGAAATAATCAAAACGGGGCTGCAACGGCTTCAAGGATGCACCGACGGGGCTTGACGGCTAAGTTTCAGCTCGCCCGAAGGTTGTGTGAGTGATCAACGGGGGCCGGGCAGCGATGAACGGGTCCCAACAATGATGGACAACAAGAGAAAACGCAGGGCAATATACGAACAGTGGGAACGGAGTTCGGCTCGCGGGGCTTTTATGTACGTAGTCTTGCGTGGCTGTCCCGGCTCGCAAGGGACGACGAAAAACAATTGTGGAGGTACCGCTAGACAGCGAGTAATTTCTGGTGGTGGTCAGCCAAAACGAGGAGGCTCGATAACTTCGTTTGGCTCACCGACGGATAACAATAAACGGGACAGCAACAAGGGCATTGGTGATGCCGCCTCAGTGGTTCGCGGCTGAGCTACCAAACGGAAGCGTGATGGAACAGTAGCAAGGGGTCTTCTCGCGTGGTTCGTCCTCTCCGGGACTGGTTCACGACAGCGGCGGTGCAGAGCAGGCTCGCTTGGGATGAGGGGCGCTGCTCGCTGTGGCCTGAGGAAGGTCTGTGCCGGAAGAAGGAAAAGAACTCGTCGGAACGAAGGGCAGCGGCTCGGTACTGCACGTGATCAAAGAG